GTGCGTTTCTATCAGTCTTCCTACCATTATGACCAAGTTGCGAAAACAAGGTCAAACAACTTCTATGTGAAATTTTGTTGAAACGTAAGAGCTACTCTTTTCATTGTGGGAAAATTAAATTACCGTTCCTTCATCACTAACGAACTGGGTAAATATATTTCATAGTCCAATGTGACCAGAGGGTGAAGTAGTAGTCATTGTATCACAGAAGCAATTTTGGTTTTTGCGTTTATATGTTGAAAGATTTATTCACTTTTTTAATGTAAACCTGAATCATTTGGGTTAGGAATAATAATCTAAATTATAGTGTATATCTGCACTATTTTAAATCGATTTTGTCTGAAAGTTTACCGACACTTCTATTTTCCCAGACGTCATTGCTTTAGAGAAACTCGTATTAGTTATTTGCTAGTCTTGACGCTTTTCCATCCCCTCCAGCATTCATTGATCTATTTTTGCTATTCTCTTTTATTACACCATATTTTTGCCATCCGGAACCTACCACTTGCCAGCCTGCTCTTTACACTCAGCCTTAATTTATAGTTGTAACAGTCTGTAACGTTGCCAATACTTGCTTTATTTATACGCTCTTGAGGTGCACTAGTTTTCTCTTTTCAATATACGACTGGCCTATCAAAGCTACATCCACTACTTTGAGCTTTATCGCAGTCGCCTTTCCCTGATGCCTCCTAAGCAGCAATTCATGAGATGAAAAATGGATTAATCTTAGCTCCTAAAGCTCACAGTTACTTGATGTACTTTCTATTACTGTCTATTATAGTCTCTGTAAGCGCTGACAAAACTCAGATTAGAATTTGATATATGTTAAAAAGCGTTTTTTGATAAATTTCTTTCCGGTTCATATCTTCGCCATTTTTCTCCTTGGCAATTAATTTATGGTTAAACTTTGGAGTACTCCTCTCCAAGTATTTCCTTGAAGCCTACCATCCATTGTATTAATAAATTTGTTTGGGGTAGAAGTCATTTAACCTTATTTTCGCAACTTTGTCGTATTGTCAGGGAGACCTAGTGGATACATATTTTTCCGTAGTCCAATGAGACTTTCCAGAGTCGGACTGTGGTCTAAGTACATTCCCAGACCTGCCAGAACCGTAGTTAGTATCGTCAGTGAGCCTTGTCATTCCTAGCATCACGCTAGAGGCTAAAAAAACTTGTATACAACAAAATGAGCCTTCAACCATGCAAAACACCACACAGTCTTTGTCTCCATACCCTCTTGTAATAGTATGCCCTTCCATATAGCTTTAAAGCTATAGTGCACCACTAGGACTTAATGCAACTTTTTAAACGAATATACACCTCTTTGTTTCTCATGCTTTAATTTAGCCCGGACAATTTGCGTCTCTGGCCTACACAACTACTGGCATCTCTTCGTTTGACGAGCTTACCAGCCTTGCAATGAATTCTACTGGGCGTGGTAAGACTAATCTTCTCAGCCTCAGTGCCGGAGTTTACTCACCTCCTCCAACATCACTCGCCTATCACCAGCTAATCCACGATGCCTCAATGACCACCGCTACTACCACTGCTCCTACTAGCCTTCTTTTTCGACCAGACTGCCCCCCACCTCTAAGTACTCCCTACACAATGAACCAGCTTGCTTCCCCTTCATCCTGTTTTCTGCCAGCCGAGGCTTTTGGCTCTACTCCCATTCGGGACTCAAATATGATATCTAGTGAGAACATATTTGGCGCTGGGCAGCAGCCGCACGCACAACCTCCCACTCCTACCAGTCTCCTGCTCTCTAACTCGACTGACAGCGGAGCCACAGGGCTTGGCGATTCGCCAGTCAGTCTAACTCTTCCTGGACCCACTGTTAGGCCGTCAATGGTTGAAATAAGCTTCAGTAAGACCTCAGGCCCTCAAGAAAACGTGCTGGCTGAACAGATGAGTAAGATTCCAAAGGGATATCAACCACAACATCGAGCCTGGCAGAGGCCGATCTCGGCACTGGTGGAGGTACCACTACCCATGTTTCCTGCATACTTTGATTCTGTCGATAACGAAAGTCTAGCGGATAAAATATATTTATCAACTGGAGCTAGAGTGCAATTGGCTCCCCAGATGTCAGAGTCTTCCACTAAATTGTCAGGTGATGATTTGTTTCGCACATCTACTTCGATACTTTATCTTTATTTTACCACAATGATGATGGAAGTCCCATTTAGTGCTACTGTCTTATCATCTTATAACTTCCTGTTTTCGGTAAGCCCCCCAATTTTTTTTATTAACCTTCATAGTTCGCTGCTTTATTATTTGCATGGAAGCTCTATTTTCACTATTTCTAACGCTTACAGATTTTATTGAGGCTCGTCTTGTTAGGATAAACAAGAGCTGTCTTAAATTCGTGTATATCCCTGACTTGCATACTTCATGTTTATATAATGTTTCCTTATTTTTCTAAGCCTCCTTGCTTTTCTAAATGATTTGTATTTTATGCGTTACGTAACACTTAATTCGTTTTGAATTCCTGATCCTTACTGCCTCTGCTATAACCTATATTACAGTGCATGCTTTTTTTTTTTATCCTCTTATTTACCTGAAAAATTAGGATAATTTTTTATTGTTTATTTTTTATGGTTCTTTAGACAAATTATATTGAAATAAATTTTTGAGTTGGAATATTGAGGTTTCACAAAAAACCATGCTGGTTTTTTTTTATTGTTATGATATTTCTCAGGTGCGAAATGGGCAACTATAGAATTAATAACTGACACTCAGTCTTAAGTGCTTTCTTCCTCTTGTTTGTGCAGTATAAAACCACACAGATAAGCGATGGAAGGAACAATGAAATTGGTCTCACCGGGAAGCTAAAAGGGTTTAACCTGAAATCGGAACTCTGAACTTGTGCGAATTCTTCGGCACACCGTTTTGGAGCTTCGGTGATTATAAGCCAAGTTTTTTTGTCATATGATATGCATCTCAAGTACGTGAAGCCACTGCTTATGCAACTTCAAGCACCAAGATAAGAAGGTTGGCCAACTTCGCTCATACCTACTTATCATGACCAGGATTTGTCGACTTAATGAGGCACCTAATCATTTAGCTGGATATTTTATTCTTTTTTCGCATGGTTTCATCTAAATGAGTTGCTTACGCATGCCATTTGAAGTGAATGCTGTTCTGACCGAATGGGGGTTTCCTCGCCCAAATCACTTATATTTTTGATTCGACAATGTTCGCTCGTGTTGTACTATGTGCTTGCTGTGTGTTGTATATATGCTATACTTATGAGTCGTGTGAGATATGCGAGCCATAGCCAAATCCTAGGCCCATTAAGCCACCTATTGCTCGGCTACTATCTCATTTGGCAATCATCTTATTCTATTTCTTGCATTGATTATTTTATCCAGGTTATTAGTCATTAGTAGCAAATAATGATACCAATTTGTTGTAGTATCTATTTTGATCACAATCACATTTACTTTATAAAAATACTTTAATCTTATTTCCACAACTTTTCAATTGTAAGGGATACCTTGATGAACGCACATCGCCTAGAGTCCTCCATATTATTCACACTTCCCAGCTTCGGACTGTAAACATCTTCAGACTTTTTGTCGGTATCATCGTTGATCCTTGCCAATCTTATCACTAAGCCTTTACTTGTCAGAGACAAGTGAAATCTATCCCTTGACCAATTTTCTTCTGAATGATCGTAGTATCTATTCCACTGTCCTGATATATCCATATACACCCAGTACTCTTATCGCACTTCCCTCCTGTCATAATTTTTAACTTATTTACCCTGGTCTACTCTAGGCGTGTCCATTTATGCAGATTTAATGAGCCACTGCTTTTGTCTTTTCCCTGGCGTGCCGAAAACGCTGATCTAACCTGGACCTTACAGTCCGCAAGCTACTGCATTCACCTGTATTCGAATCTACCTCGTGCCTTCGAAGAGCCATTACTTCGCGTACTGGCTGACTGATTTTAATCGACTGCAATTACCGTATCTGTTTTACTAAGTATTATTTCCCATTGTCTGC